CGGTCTCTCGTTGAAATGATGACGGCGCAATAAGACAGGAATCACGAACCACCATGTTTGTTGATCTTTTCGCAATTTTCTGCCGATGTTAAGGCCCGTATTCATATGGCAGTTTTATAGATGTTAGCCTTAAATTGATAGAAATAAAGCTTAAGTCGTAGGCAAATAAACCAATCTTCGATTACTTTAATATGTGAGATAATTTTTCGTTTTTTTTCGTTTTCAAGACTAATAATAAACCAACAAACGCTAAAATTAGACCAACAATCATCAGCAAACGATTACGCATCGATTAGGCTTTTTTTAAATTAAAAATAAAATTTTTCCGGCTAACTTAATGCTAATTTTTCTTTTTAAATTTAAAAAAAAATTAAGAACCAACAAACGTTGTAATTAGGCCAACAATCACCAACAAACGACCAACAAACGATAAAAAAATATAAAAATTAATAAAGTCGAAGTTGACCGGCTAAGTTACCGGAGCTGGATTACAACGCTTTCTGACTTGGATAGAGGATTCTGGGGAGGATTTAGCGTTGACGCAAGCCCTAGGGAAGCATCAAGGCTAGAGGTTGTCACTAGATTTTCTCTATTGTCGAATTCTTGCAGTTCCACCGACGGAACTTCTATATCGTATCCGTCGTCATTAGTGTTGTAAAGGGGAAGGTGACACCTCCCATCAATATTTGTAACAATAGCGTTACCAAAATAAATTCCTTTAATGGATTCTAAAAAGGGAATATATCCTGTCTTCATCTCAGGGTTAGTGACGAAGGCATAAAATGGTGTTACGGATCGTGGCTCTACACGAATATGTTTAGATTCGGCAAATGGAATGCGAGAATCGTCATATTGCAAGTATTTTTTATTGAAGTTGATAATAGCATTATATTTTTTGAAAAAGTCCGTCCCGAGGATGCCATGCTGCATAAAACCGATCTCTTCTTTTACTAGATGAAAATCAACTATCTTTCCCAGCAAAAGTATTGAAATGGATCCCAATGTAAATGTAGGTTCTGCGGTTATACCTTGCAGAGAAAATATGTGATTTCTATTAATTTTGATCCCGTCTTCTACACAACTTTCCTTGATTAGATTAATGTCTGAACTTGAGTCGATCATAAAGAGACAGTTTCCTACTAAATCGGGTGATGACAGCATGACATTCGGTGACTCACCAACTCTACCTATTTTATTTATCCGCGCAGTAACGGAGTCTCTGCGATACTCTGGAATTGAACTGATTTTTGATTTTGATTCATGTGCCCAGTCACGGTTGCGTTCGGGCGGGCACCGCTTATTGCCGGAACGCTGTCGGCGTTTCCCGGATTCTTCGTTGGTAAATTTTGAAAATTTTGATTTTGTTTAGGTCCAGAAATGTTCGAAGATAATTGCTGCGAAGGATTATTTTCGTATTGAGCTTGGACAGAGCGACGGTAGGCTAGTTTTCTGCATTCATCAATGAGATGTCCAGGATCTTTACAATATCTGCAAATCTTTCCGGTCGGAGCATTTGGTCCAGGCTGACCAGGGATTAACGGTTTAATAAATGGGCGCGTAGGATTTTGCAGGATTTGTGGATTAGAAGGTTGTGCGCGATCATTAGGGTAATCCATACGAGGGGGAGGGTTTGGTTTTGCAGAGATCATTCTCTTTCTCAGTAATTCTGCTTGTAATGTCTTATTAAGTTGTATTGCGGATGCAATTGCTTCGTCAAGTGAATAAGTTTGTCCTTGTAATTTTACTCGAACTAGCAAGTCGGAAGGTAATCCGTTTATGAAACCTTCGCGGCAATCGTTATCAATATTTTGTAAATCTACGTTTTCCTCTCCATACAGGAGGGTTTCTCCATCGATTATAGCATTTCGTAATTCTTTGATTCGGTCTATGTACGCAAAAATATCTTCATTCGGATGCATATAAATATTACCGAGTTCTCCTCTGTACTGATTTAAAGATTTATTAGAACCAAAAATAGTTTTGAGATGGCGCGTTAAGGAAGCGACTGTGTGAAAATTCATACCTTCTACAGCTGTATAGGCATGATTTTGTAAGCGATTGATAATTAATTGGACCAGTTGATATTCTTGTCTGGGGGATATCAATTTAAGTGCACGGTCACACATTCTACAAAATTGATAAATAGGTATTTTATGTCCGTCGAATCTAGGAATGGAGTCTACCACATCTTTGAGACGCATGGCAGGTTGTTCGTCCACGAAGTCATTATGGGTTGAGAAAAACGTCTCATTAGAACGGGGAAGATTATCGCGAGTGGGTGAAGCTATACTCTGACTTACGATTCGCGACTGTAATTCGTTCATGTGTGTTTTTATATTTTGTACTTCCCCAGGAATGGAATTTAATCTCCCGAGTTCTTGCCGAATTCCCGCTAATATACTAGCTAGTTCTTGAACGTCAGGTTTAATTTTAAGCAATTTCAATTCTTCCTCCTTTACTTCGATTTCCTGTTGTCTCTTCCGTAAAGCGTCTGTTTGTTCGGAGAGAATCTTTTCTTTTTCAAGTACTCGCTGAAGCGCGATATCTGGGTCTCCGGTAGACATTTTGTCGTCTGTTTCGGAAGGGGTACGAGACGTTTGCGAACGAGTAGTGTACGGTGATCTAATCATGTGTACGAATATTAAGGTCTCGAGATTTTCACAAAGCTTTTCCTTTCCTGGTTCCTACAACGATTTCCAATCCCACCGCTGCCACCAATTTTTATATGTTACGTCGCGATTATTGGACAAATCGATATAAACCGCGATATAACTCTGTTCTTTTCTTCTTCCAGCACTACTACCTCGGCGTAGTGGAAAGAAGCCTCTCCTTTGTTATTTCGGGAAAGTTTGCATGCACCGACTATATCCCGGGACTGGCGAGAGGTGTCGTTGTCGGAACGGTGCGTGGAAAGGGAAAAGAGAATCTTATTCTACAATAAGGGTGTATCGCACAGGAGCAATTGGGAACATTTATCTGTATCTTTATTTTGTAGCCGGGAACCGGCTGGTGTTTTGTGACACGGGTTTTAAGGAATAAATTGTTATTGAATTTACTCGTTGCACAATGTAAATTTTTAGTAGTAGATAAGGGAGAAACGGAAAAAGGATAATTTATGATCCTTGCGAAGCTAGAGATTAATACTGAATTTATTAATTCAATCAGGTTCGATACAATCTCCACAAGTTATAGGCGTGAGAAATACAAGTTTCGCTTAATTATTAAAATTAGACTTACTATTATCGCTGGCTGTTATGGAAAGAGCGTCTCCTAATGCGTCAATAGACCCTCGAGAATCGGAAGGATCCAACCTCGTCACTCAGCTGGATGAGTTTTCGAGTAGTGGTTCGACAATTAATAAAGACAAAATACGTATGAACTTCGTGCGTAAAATAAAAGACAAAAGGCAAAAGGCTCTCGCTCCGGCTGAGTACGTATTTTTATAGGGACCGATTTGAATGCTGGCTGAATTTTTCGTGTCCTGATTTGCTAATGAGCGAATAGAGATGGTAATTATGGGAGGCTTCTATGGCTTCCATTGGTTAGAATTAATTCCTTCTAGAAGATTCTAAGGACGCTTTGGAGGGAGTCAAAGGATGCACTTGAGTCATACTGCATTAGCTCTCGACTGGTAAATATGTTATTTTTCTCGCGCTATCATTCGGACGCTTCTTCACCGAGATCCTTTGATTCCTGCCGGCATTCTGGGTGGTACAGCCGAGGCGTATTTTATATTATTATCGATCGCATTGTAGGGGACTGCGACGTCTTATGAATCATCGCATGGCAAGGGGCGGCTGCAACGTCTTGGTGAATCATAGCAAAGGTTAATATTAATATGAAAATGCGAGGTTTACGACAGAGACAATTATAATTGACCGATTTTGAAGAGTTTTGAAAAAGGGGACAAAATTTAATTTGCGTGACGTCACACTTGCAACCGCTCACTTGTCACCCTACTCTATGCCGTATGTCGTCTATATACTCTATGCCCTATGCCGTATGTAAAGCGCACGAAATCCCCTATCCCTAGCCCTTTCCCTCGTCCCTCTATCCTAACCTCTCACTTAGTCGTCTATTTACCCCTTTAATTACTTCTCACCCCTTACGTCTCTCTACTTCCCTCCACTTCTGTCGCCTCCTCCGCCGTTTACCTCCCCTCTCCTTCTATCCTACACTCCAAATCTACCCGTGAACGCAGTCGCTCGCAATCACCCACGCAACGCTCGCAATCCACATCCACTCACACACGCATCCACTAACCAAGTCCTAGTTATTACTATATTATTTATTAAGTTGAAATTAATTTAAAATTGATGTTCTTTTATATGACAACAAATTGATCGGAGAAAGATTTGATTTAAGCAAATCTACATTGTTTCCTTGCTTTGTTCGAATTACGACAGCTTTAAATGTCATGGATCCTCAGATGATTCATTGGCCAACAGAACAGGAGCTTCCATTAATAAAAGAAAAATTTAAAGCTATGGCTGGAACTGATGGTGTCATAAGTGCTCTCGATGGAACATATGTGCCAATTAAAGCGCCATCAAAAGATGCCGAAACGTACATAAATCGTAAAATGCAATACGCCATAACGCTGCAAGCAATATGCGATGCCAATTTAAAATTCACAGATTGTTATACGGGATACCCTAGTTCAGTACTTGACGCTAGGATTTTTAGAAATTCTGATATTTATCATTCGATACGTCAAAATCCAGAAAAGTATTTTCCACATGATGAATTTATTTTAGTAGATAAAGCATATCCTACTTTGAAGTGGTGTATTACTCCATATATGAATCGATAAAATTTAAGAAAACAGCAGGAGAAATTTAATACACTACTTTCGCAGACAAGGCAAACAATAGAAAGAGCATTTGCTCTCTTATTTGGCCGATTTAGACGCCTAAAATATTTAAATATGAACAGAATCGATTTAATACCCGGAACAACACTTGCGTGCTGCGTTTTGCATAATATATGCCTAGATTTTGGTGATGATTTAATATGCGAATACGTACAAGACGCACATGGACGCAATAGTAGAAAATCAACAGGAACAGATTATAAACAAGAGTGAAAATGAAAAACAAGTTGGAAATAAACGTCGGGATGCACTGTGCGAGGAATTAAATCGTAATGATGATCGATTATAATATCCTTATGCTCGGGGGGCGTTTAAGCGTTCCCCGGATTTGCGAATTGGTGCGAACTACGTGACTCGAAGGACCAGAGGAGATGTGTATCGTCTTCCCAAAACGAATTAACGAAATTAAGCAAAATGCGACTCACCGTTCGGGAGGCCGTCGCAAATGTCCTTTTTATTTTTCTTTCTAAAAAGAGTCATCATTCGCGGGAGAGCGGGGGGGGCATTAGGGTATAATATCGACGAACGTCGATGACAGAATTTATAAACAAATATTATCTCGCACTGCAGATGCAAGCATCGATGGTCGACGTAGATACTTGGCCAAAAATTGTAGGCGATTCAACCTTAGATGTACGTTAAAAAACTCCGAGATATACGAGGTAAAAAGAGAAACAAAGAAACGCCGAAAAAGAAAGTTAGCCTGGGAGTCTCTCGGAGACCTCCGCTGTGTATGTCTAGGGTTAACACAACCGTCGCGACGTCCTTTTTACACATGTTTTTAAGACAATTTATCGAAGTTTTAGCAAACATGTTAAGTAACAGGTTCACTTGATCATTGGATCACGTTTTACAGCACCAATCGGTTATGACGTTGCGCGTTACAAAAACAAATAAAATTTATATGAAGTGCCTTCTTTTTCAAGTGGAAATATCGTATTACAGTCGATGTCTAAAAGATATAATTTAGAAACAAATAGCGTCTGGCACATTATGTGCATCCCTACTCTAAATTTTAACTGCTAGGACTGCCTTCATCATAGACTCATGGTGTAGTCAAATTCGAATAGTGAAAGTGACAGTGCAAAGATGAAGCTAAAAATTACGTTTTCGTGTGTCGGGGTAAGTATTTTGTGCTGTGCATTAATAAAATTTGTACTTTAATTTGTGTAATAAATTTTTGTTTTATTTTTTAGTACAAAAAAGTTGGCGAATGGAAGATTGCAGAGGTACCTCAATCAAGGATGCAAATGCAAATGGAATTTAAGTTCACCCCATATGAGCAGATATCTCCGAGAATGAGATACCTCTTTAACGAGTCAACGTTCGAAGTGCCCGTACATATAAGGGTGAGTACATCTAAATTTTCGAGGCTGTTACTAAGAAATTTATACAAATCGATAAACCGTAACTTTATGTCACTTCGCGAATCTGATCTTTCGGCGGTATCTTTAACGTGTTTCGTGAACGAGATGTATTTTTCTTTCGTTATCGGCAGTATGTCGATCGAGTCTTCGAACACGGTAGCTATTTCTTTTATGATAAAATGCACGTCGTAGCCAAATAAATTGTGGAAAACTTGGGAATGTAATGAGAATCTTTGTAATTTAGATTACAGTTTGAATGTGCGGGACCTCTATAACGACCGGTCAGATGACAATGACCGCGTACTCGCACGTCGTCTGGCGCGAACGGTTTTTCACAAATGTGGCAGTGCGTCACGCTGTGAAATATCTTCCACTCGTCTCGCGTTAATTCTGCCATGCGAACATTACCGGACAAGATAGTCTTTACGTCGTGTGCTAAACGTCTTAGTTTCTCGGCGAACCACGTGACGCAATCCTTATCGCGACAAAACCGATACGCGGATAATGAGTCGTCGTACAAGCACCGCACGTAGTATCCTATACTAAATACCCGATGATGTTGAGACCTGAACGTGGACGTTCTCGGATCCGCATCCGTCTTCTCAAGGGTACATTCCAGGTCGGCGTATATGACATATGGAAGCTGCTCCTTCCTGCTGTGATTCTTGAAGCTAAGCCACTTGTCGTCCTCGCTCGGTAATCGGATGATACAGTTGTTTATCTCTCGGCAGTCTACACCATGGGCTTCCAATTTCCTGCTCAAACTGAAACTGAAGTAGTGTAAACATCTGCAAAAAATAATTTTTACACAATTTTTATAAAAAAAATATAAAATTATATAGGAAAGACCGGGGCAAACTCGACACTGGGGTAAACTTGACACTAAGCTTTTTGCCAATTTAAATCTATCGTAGAAACTTGCCTTTCCTACTGTAAATGCATCTTTATGTGCCAGTATTATAAACGAAATTTTGTGATATTCTGAGTTATGGTGTAATTTTTAGCGCGACATAAGCGTTTTTGATAGTAAAAAGTAATTCTTATGATCTCTCGAAAATTTCTACTTTTTCATCGAGCTTTACTCTTACGAACCTATATTGTTGGACAGGTTTGACGCGTGTTGCCTCTAGTCGGTAAAAGCGAAGGGCGAGTCTACCGGCACCTAGGCGATTAGCCGTTGCGGTGAAGTCGAGTTTTTGTTTTGTTCTAGTAGTTATTTCTATGGCAGCCCTTGTAAAGACAAGATCTCTCGTGCGCCGAATATTAATATATATAAAAATTGTTCACATTAATAAGTCTCTTGATACTTGAAAAACCTGTCTCCTCCTCACAATTGAATCCTGCTTTAATAGATTATGGACCCAGTCACTCTAACTGAGCATTTATTGTGAAAGAGTAAGTGGTTTTTCGTAGAGAAGCGCGAAAACGAGATCGTTGCGCGGAAGCCATTGTTCTTGGCGTGTGTCTGTTTTCGGGTGTCGCGAGCTCGCAATTAGAATCCGAAAATGTCTGATGAGATCTCGGCGCGGAACGTTACAAAATTTAACGGAACAAATTTCCAAGACTGGAAGTTCCAGATTAAGACATTATTTATTGCGCACGGTATATTAGACGTTGTGAAAGGTGAAAGGAAAATGCCGACCGACGAGAGCCAGGCCGCGGAAAAAAAGCTCTGGATAAAAGACAATACACGCGCGATGTTTTTTATTTTGTCGTCGATCATGTACGAGCAGTTGGAACCGCTATTAGTGTGTGATACAGCGAAGGATATGTGGGACAAAATATCTCGCATCCATGAACAGAAGTCAGCGTCGA